AACGCCTCCTCTGTCAGCGGCCGTAAGCAGACAAACTTTCTGAAGAGAGTTTCGATGCTTTCAAATAAAATCTAAGCGAAACAAAGTGTAGCGAATTTGCTGAATTGAGTTCTAGAGACGCCGTAGGAAAATTGAGGCAGAAGAAGGAATTTCAGGGAAATTTCACAGTTGTTATGAAGTACTCTTCGAGTGGATTCCAACAATCTTTACCGCTTCTCATCACATTAATTTCAAAGGAAGTTATGGGCCTTTAAAGACTGCATAGTCGCGGTCCAGGAAAAAGGCTTGAAAAAAATCAAGGTGGAATTGACGGAACAACGGGACTATTTTTTGAGCGAGTGATTATTTCAAGAAGTTTTAGCACTTATTCGAAAGCTCTAATCCTCTAGTTTCTAATTAGCCTTAGACATCTGCAAAATGTTGAGTATGAAGAAAGTTATTAACGTTTGAATGTCGAAAACTCGCGCCTTCTCAAAAATCGGACCCCAAACCACCCAAGAACGGAACAACGGGACTATTTTTTGAAAAAATGATCGCTGGAAAATTTTCAGGTGCTTGTTCGAAAGCTCTAATCTTCTAGTTTCTAATTAGCCTTAGACATTTGCAAAAAGTTGATTATGAAGAAAGTTATGAATGTTTGAATGTCAAAAACTCGCGTGTGCACAGAAAACGGAACAACGGGACGATTTTTTGAAATATTGAACATCCACAACATTTCAAATACTCCTCAGGAAGAAAACTATTTATATTTTCAAAATTTTGGTGTCCGATTTCATGAAACAGCTTCTGAAAGAAAATATAACCTTCTGAATGGAGGGGTTTGGATTGCAATGTAATTGCTACAAGGTTTAGTTTTTCAGATTATAAGGTAAGGAAAGTTGAGAGATCGAAAAAATCCTGGTGGGTTTCTGAAAGTAGAAATCTTTACGAATTAAAATGATGTATTGGTTTACGCAAAAATTTGAAAATTCCTTCTATTTAATGAATAAAACTTCATTTGCCTCGATTTCCTCCTCTGAGCGAGACAGAGCGCGCGGATTGACCACGGTCCACCACTTCTCCATGTTGGTGACTGCCATATTGATGAGCATTGATGAGCATTAAATTATGTGAAAGACATGATAGTTAATATGGGGGGGGGGTCGTACCGATACCCCCGAAAAGGAAGGGGGTCGTAAAAATTTTGGAATTTGCGCAACGCAGGGTTGACCCTGCTATATCCCCCCTCTGATTCAATCCTCTGGGGGGACAAAAAAGGGTTGCGTCATAGGACCTAGCATACCTCTGTGTTTCTACCTGCCAGACAGTTAGAGCAGCGCTACTACCCTCCACTGATGAAGCACTCTTTCCACCTGACCAGGAAAGGCATTCAACTTCCCATGGAACTTTGAGATGAGACCCAGATATATCGATAGAGCTTCAAACGCTGATTACAAATATGGAAACTAAAACTGCAAAATGAACCTGCCAAGGAAGTTGTGAGCAGTCAAAGTTGGCTGGAAGTAAAGCATTACACTAGCCTCCGGGCTTTCAAAGTCGCCGTGGAGTAGTGGTAGTGCTCTCGGAATTTGCGCTCCGACGGGAGGGAGAGCTTATGACCTTCAGGGTGAACACTGCACCACCACGACTCTGAAAGCCGGAGGCTAGTGTAATGCTTTACTTCCAGCCAACTTTGACTGCTCACAACTTCCTTGGCAGGTTCATTTTGCAGTTTTAGTTTCCATATTTGTAATCAGCGTTTGAAGCTCTATCGATATATCTGGGTCTCATCTCAAAGTTCCATGGGAAGTTGAATGCCTTCCCTGGTGAGGGGTCGCGCTGCTCTAACTGTCTGGCAGGTAGAAACACAGAGGTATGCTAGTCCTATGACGCAACCCTTTTTTGTCCCCCCAGAGGATTGAATCAGAGTAGGGGGATATATCCCCCTGGGGGAAGGATTGAATACCGCCCCAGTATCGGTTTAGGCCCTGTTCAGAGATGTCCGCCGGCGCGAAAAAACGCACAGGCGAAAATCTCCGCCAAGATTTAGATACGCATCGACTGAGAAATTGTGAAACGCGTAAGCGAAACGTCCGGAGCAGGCGAATTTCAGTCAAGAGTTTGATATGTATCGACTGTGAGAAACGCACAGGCGGAAAATCGCGTGAGCGAAGCGTTCGTAAGTCGATGCGTATGATACTCATTTTCGTCGATCCTCCCACTTCACGATTCGCCTGTGCGTCTTCGTTCAGTCGATACATATTTCACATTGTTTCGCCTATGCGTTTTTTCGCGCAAGCGGACATCTCTGGGGCCGGGTGGCAGCATAGATCCCCAACCTTGGGGATACATCCCCAACCTTGGGGACATATCCCCATCCTCGACATTCTACGAATCGTTCAAGGGTTTCGTCGCAGGACCCAGGGCTTCCGCATCTCGAAGGCTCACGGACCATTAATGTTTCGTAGCACTATGGCAGTTTCGAAATACAATGGCACGGCACACATAGGAACCGTTACTATCTCTTCACTTCGTGGCTCTTACGAAATACAGTGGCAAATGGTCTTGGAGGCTGAGCGCCTCTTTCACATCGTTAACCATTTTTCTTCAATTGCCTTTCCCTCTTTTTTTTGATTCTGTGGTTTCTTCTGGCTCAGTGTGGCCCCGTGAATGGTGTCAGATTCACGGAAACGCTCAGTTTTGGGGCTGACCCTTAGAGGAGAAGAGATAATCCGAAGTGTCTAAGCAGTCTGCATCGTGATGGCCCCTAACTAGAATATACCCCGCCAATTTTCGCCGAACTTCTAAAATTCCTTTTTTAGCGCAACGAGCGGTGGATCCCGCGCCACGCCCTCCTCTCGCAGAGGCACATTGAGCCTTTCCTAGGCACTGTTCACACATTGCGCCACAGCCGAATGACGCTCAAAACGAACGAATCTGCGCAAATGCGAAATGAATGAAATGCGTATCGATCTACAAAATGGGAGGAGCATCGAATCGCGCAAAATCTGCGAATCCTTTTAAAAGAAATGGGTGTCTATCGACCGAGTCAATCGGAGATCGACAGCGCGAAACGGCGGTGCAAAAATCCTCCAGCAACGCTAATACAGCGTGCTCTACAATGTCGACACGCATTTAATCTTTTCGCATCTGCTTTCGCGCGTGCGCAGATTCTTAACCCTTTCGGACCTGAATTTTTCCCCGTGGAGAAATTTTTCTTCTAGCTATTGTTTATTACTTGTGAGCATATAGGTATCATTATGGCGAAATTTGGAAGCTATTCGATCACAAACAAAGAAACTAAGAAGCTTTGAAAATTGGCCCACCTTCTTAGTTTTTAAGCTTATGTCGAAACAATTCGAAATTTCATAGTTATGCCGAAAAAGTTTATAATCTTGCATAATATTATAACCATAATTTTGATTTAGGAATGGATCCACTTCAAGTATTTTAAGAAAAAGTCACACTTACTTGGCCGGTTGCGGGGGTCAGCGCCCATTCATTGTTGCACTTGTACACAAATACTTGCAATACTAACAGCAATAAACAATGAAATGGCCGGTTAAGCTCATAATTAGGAAGGGGAAGGTTGACTGAAGCAAACTCTAGCAGGATTAGAAAAACTATGCTGTTTCAGCGGAAATGCAAGCGTTTGAATTTGGTGGTGGCAATTGCCACCGCCAGGGCCGAAAGGGTTAATGTTGATATGTATCTGATTCTTTTCGCAAATTTGAATATTCGATAATTTTAAAACTGTGAACAGTGCTTAGAAAACAGCGAATGAACAAAGGCAAGGTAATGGCGAAAAAAGAAATGCGAATAACGAAGCGAAATAGAGGGTGAAGAAACCCGAAACTGCCTTCAATTCTCCGCGTCGCCAAGTGAGGGGACGAATCCCCCTAGTCTCGACTAGGGGGATATATCCCCTGCCTGCAGAGACGCAGAGGGTCGACGGCAGTGACCGTCCCGCACGGTTGCGTCACAGGAGCCACCGAAAAACGATGGGTCTTGCGACGAAGTAGGGGATATATCCCCAAGGTTGGGGATATATCCCCAAGGTTGGGGATATATCCCCAAGGTTGGGGATATATCCCCAAGGTTGGGGATGTATCCCCAAGGTTGGGGATATCCCCAAGGTTGGGGATATATCCCCAAGGTTGGGGATATATCCCCAAGGTTGGGGATGTATCCCCAAGGTTGGGGATGTATCCCCAAGGTTGGGGATGTATCCCCAAGGTTGGGGATGTATCCCCAAGGTTGGGGATGTATCCCCAAGGTTGGGGATCCCTCCCCTCGTTGGGTGAGGGGAGGGATCCCCAAGGTTGGGGATCCCTCCCCTCGTTGGGGCTTGCTGCACCCGGCCCCTGAACAGGGCCTTAGAAAGCGCGTCGATGCGACGCGCATTGTACGTGACTACGGCAGGAACTTCGTAATTTACGCTTGCTTCGGGTGCTCACTCTGTCTAAACGGCTTATCTCGTTATCTATCGTTATCTCTTATCTCGAAAAGCTGAGACGAGAGGAAGCGGTTAGGTATATTTGGGGGAAGTGCAGTGCCTTTCTGCAATAATGAACACACCAGCTCATCTCCTGAACTTGTTATTTCTAACGACGACAATAACGTTGCAGTGTTACAAATGAGTTTTTCGTGCAGCTGCTTGAATATCATGTAAATCACATTGAAGAATAAATATTATCAGCTCTGGGTGAAACTCGGGTTCGGGGGGCCACGCGATGGCGCGGCGCTGTTTTCGTCTGCTCTACCAAGGCTTAGTCACCGATGGCGCGTATTTTGAAACTGCCACATGATGGCGAAAGAGTAACTGTCCCTGTGGACTAAGCCTTGGAGGAGCAGACGAACAGAGCGCCGCGCCATCGCGTGCCCCCCCCCCGAACCCGAGTTTCACCCGTTTGAAGATAATGGTGCTCTTTTGCTATATTCGTTGAAATCGCCTCCTTTGTACGTCGTATTTTGCTTTGCTGCTTCTAACGTTGTTTCTTTGAAGGCTCTCAGAATAGTGAATGGCTTCGAACAAAAGGAAGTCGGCAGCATCTCCAGCACCGAAACCACGTCGATTTGGTGATAAGATCGCTCTTCACCACTGCAATGATGAAAAGAAATTCTCTCGAAAACGGCCATCAAAAGCCTTAGTAAGTTCGGCGTTTTAAAGCTTGAAATATCCATTTAGTTACTTCTCTCCGCTCTGACGATAATGTGAATCGCAATTCAATAATAATTAGGCGCCGTGTTTGTGTAGTCGGAGACCAGTCACCGTGCTGGAAATTTTTCAATTGTAACGATTGAATGGGACCAAGTTTGGGATATGTGACTCTTGGCTTATTTGTGCTGGCTTGGGGGAATTTTTGCGGCGATCCGGGCGAGACGGGAACGGGGCAAACCTTCGTGGGCATTTCCAGTAGAATTCAGCACATCTAAGCGTGTGCAGATCGCGGATAAACTCCGCAAGGTTCTGCGCTTTGAAAAATTTTGGTCTAGTTTCCTTTTTTCAAATAACTAGGTAGCAATGTAGCGTTTCCCGCTCTAGTACAAATCCGCGTTCCAGTGCGCGCAAACAGGGGTGGTATTCCATCCTTCCCCCAGGGGTTGGGGGACGGAAATCCCTTTAAATTTGGGTGCTAACTTAGTTGGGGGGGGGCACGCGGCGGCGCGGCAGTCTGCTCGCCTGGCATGTTCGGAAATCCGTGGGCCAGGGGGAGTGTAGGCAGTCTAGGGGGGTGGGGGTGGGGGCAGTCACTTGACATGCGTGAAAAGCTGGAATGTTCGAGTTTACACTGTCTCGCTCGAGAGAGCCCAGGTGAGCAGACTGCCGCGCCGCCGCGTGGCCCCCCCCAACTAAGTTAGCACCAAAATTTATTTGTTTTTCAACGATTAGTTTCTTCATTTTCCATGCATGTTTACTGTGACATATACATACATATTAAACTAGGCCCTTTATCAGGACAATCCCAGTTGGGAAGACAGAGAAAATTCAAAGGGATTTTCGTCCCCCAACCCCTGGGGGAAGGATTGAATACCGCCCCCCCCCCAGGATGCGGTAGAAGAAACCCATCGGACGCTGAACTGTCACATGTAGACAGTTCTACTTAAACTGAAAACAGAGCATCTTCCGTAGACGCGCTGATTTCTCTGAAGATGGTACCCACAACGCAAAGTTGGGTGAAATTGGAAGAAAAATGTTTGAGTGTGTTTAACGAGGTGAACCTAGGCGCAAGTTTACCACCCTTATCTGTGGACAGCGGATAGAGTGTCAGTTGGCCTCTCAGCCATTATCATGCAACATCGTATTTTTAAGCGGCATTGTATCATTGTCATTATTCATAGTACTATATTCTTTCTAATTGTAAGACTACATCATTACCAGTATAGATAATTTCAGGCAGAAGGGAAATCTAAGTTCTTGGGACGTAAGAGGAAGGTATCGTCACCAGGTCAGAAGGAAAACCAATGCACAGTCGCTTTGATCACGAAGAACGCCATTAGTCCTCTTCTGAAGGGGGTTGGTTACTTTTCTTTTGTTTGTAGTTATTCTTGGTCATTGCGGTCTGGGGCTCTGCGATTGTGCTGTCTACTCCAAGAAAAATAGCATGATAGATACGTACCTACCCTCTAAATAATATTTCGATTTTTCCTGGAATAGACACGTGTCGCCCCATCGCACTATCAAATGATCGTTACGTAGCTATTCCACTGTCGAAGGCAAACCAACTGCAAGACGGTTGCAGACGTATGATCGCTGAATTGGAATCTATAACTGCTCCAAAATCTTACCTAGTTTCAAATTGCAACATTTCTCTAACTTGCTGAAATACTCTAGTAGTATCTATGTATGGCGTATCACAAACCAAGACCTTTGGCGTCGATTTAAGCCCAGCACTGTACCATTTCGAAATTAGCATTGAGCGCTCATATTTATCTGTTACGCTATTGCTATTTCGATATTGGGAAATTACGGTCAAGGGCATGTGTGAAAGGTGTTTAAACCACCATGCCCTGACCCTTACTCATACTAGGTACCTTCCCTCCGTTTCACGAATGTCTGCTTGTCTGTAGCTTGTTGCCCACTATATTCTGATAACAATGATGTGTATATGTTCTTTTGTAGGAAGAGCAAAACAGAACCGAGAATTCTGTTCCATTTAGTGACAAGGAATTACAACTACCAGAAGTGAGGATGGTATGTTTTTCCTCTTGTATGGTTTTTTGTACCTCCTTTCTTTCTTTCTGATGTAGAATGTTTCTTACTATATTTTCATGCTCTGTATAAGAATGAGTGTGGTACTGGGGTAGGATTCTTTATAGTTACGTAATTCCACTAGATTCCAAGAAATCTCAGTACCTATTATTTTTGAGAGAATCTGGTGAACGTGTCCGGAAAAACAATTCTTTGTTAACTGAGCAACAACATCAAATAATTGCACTCAAACCTAGCTCAACTCCTTCGAAGTAGAGCCTTCAGTCGCTTGGAGCAGCCACCATTAGTGGCACGCAAGTAGGAGTCTTCGCGTTCAGTGTTTTTATAGGAGCTGCTATAGACTCCAACCCTTCAGAGGCACACCAAAGTAGTGATTAAAACTATCATGGCGATAATATTCTTGGGCGTCGTGCGAACTGAACGGTTTCAGTTGCTTCGGAAGCGGTCGCGAATTTCCTCTAATTTGACTTTGGTGATCAAAGTGAAAGTGCGTAGCTTTCCACATCCGGCGCATTCAGGAAGAGCTTAATTATGCATTTCGTAAAATGATGCTGCACACCAAGGTTCTGTTCACTTCAACACGCTCTAGAAATCGCACGCTTAATCACACTGCTGATGCAAATCTGTTCGAGGACAGCGCAGGTTTTGGCTTTTCCGCAGCGTGGGACATGGGCTGTTTATCGGGCGGGATTTGCCTAACGCGGAAGCGCGTCGGCTTATCCCTCAAGGTGCATTTTCGGAACTCAAAAGTGAAAAGTAAGTTTGTGGGAGTATAGTCCTAGTCCTGCGTTGAGCAGGGGGAGGGTCGGACGATTGGAATGACATCGGTGAAAGCTGAAGCGCACATGTTCCTACTATCTCGTCGGATGAATGAACCAAGCTAAAATTGGCCGAATAACGGTTCAAGTCAGCTGCATCTCACGCGATATGTGTCAGAAGAAGTAGCTGAAGGTGTTAACAGGAGTAGGTGTTCAGGATGTTACGTAACTATGTCTAAAGGACAAGGATCTCTTCGCGGCCTCAAAAAAACCACACACGCTGCAGTGGGTGTAGAAAACCTTTCTGTATGAGTTTCAATAAAAAGCAGAAACTATGTCATCCTCAAAATCGTAATTCCTTAGCCTTGTTTGTTTGTTGTTTGCTTGTTTTT